CAGTTGGATGTATTTGCTTTTAATAGGAAAAGAGAATCATTAGCAAAGAGCAAGTGTGTAATTTGTGGGCAGTTGCGAGGAAACTTAATTTTCCTTGTTAAATTCCTCTTTTTTGCTTGAGGAAAGGGAGATGTCACCATTGAAGATAATACTGAGCTGAACTCGTATTTCTCTTTAAAACCGGGAGCATTCATTATAGCTGCAATGAATCCCACTGTAGCTGGTCTGGTCATATGCTTTGTTCGTATCAATCTTGATAGCCACATCATATGTATTTCCTTCTGTTGCTTGAGAAAATTAATAGCCTCTTGAGCTATAAAGATGGTATCTTGTATTTCTCTTCCGTTAATGAAATGGAAGTGTTTTGGTTGGGAGGAAATAATAGTTTCAAGACAAGGTTTCTATTTTTTTCCCAAAAATCTTCGAGATGATTTTGTATGCAAAGTTACACAATGCAATAGGCCCAAATTGGGAAACTTCCTCAGGGAGGTGGATTTTGGGAATGAAAAATGTTTCAAACCCCCTTTCCCTCCTACCCCCTTTGACCCTCTTTCCGCCAGTTTTTCTTTTTTTTTTCCTTCTCCTCCAATCACCAACTACCACGTGTGTGTGGGAGTGGTGGGGGTGGTGATTGGAGGGGGTCTCTATCAATGCTGTTTGGGATAAGATCTATATTAGTCTAGTTTAATTCTTCATGCATAATTCCAGTGGAAGAAAATTCTGCTACCATTTAAAATACATTTTCTTTCACAATATGCCAGCAAGTTTGAAAGAACATACCACGGAATCCATCTGGGCCAGGGGCATGCTTTCAAAGGCCCAAGGCTAAAAACAACCTCTTAGTCTTGTGATTTGATTCCTATGCCTTCTTTGGGTTTTTGTCTCCCTGTTTTAACCATTTTAGTCTAGTGCGAATCTCCCAATATTTTTCCTCCCTATCTGATCTCGAATCAATTTTGGAAATGATATTCTGAATTGACCTTGTGTACTCCTTGTTTTCTACTTTGCTTCTATACCAGCTGCGCCTATAAAAGATATTTTTTTTTCTTTTTTGAGAACCAAAAGATTAACTTTGTGTACTTTCATTCTTATATTTGCTTTTGCTCCACATCTTCAGTCCTTTTCCACACAATTTTTTTTAAAAAAAAAAAAATTGTCATTGCATCAATTTTTTATCCGAATTTTGTACCTCCCAACCATTAAAAACAACCTCTTCAGTCTTCATCATGGAACCAGTAATAGGCTTCGAATTTGAACTTCACTACATGCTTGTACACTTCGGCAGTAATTCCAACCAAATCAGACTATGATCAGAACCAGCCTTTCCTTGACATTGTATGATCCTTCTCTATTGTTTGACCCAAGTGTAATATCTAAATGAGGTGATTTTATATCTTGCTTTGTCTCTAGCCTCCTCTGTCTTCTGATATTACTTGCTATTGTGGATGGTGTGAGTGAGGTGACTTAATTGAAGAGAGTTGTGCAGAAATGCGGATGGCTAATATAAGCACTGGAGAGAATCCTTCGATTTTCCTTTTATCTCTTCAAAGAAATCTTTTATTATTGTTCCTATAGTTGCTAAAAAGATTGGGTGAATTATACTAACATTATGTTACTTTAATCCCTAACTTTTCAATTGTGATATATTTAATCATGAATTTTGAATATTTGAATATTTGAATTTTATTTCAAATAAGGATAATCAAAGATATTTTCTTTACAAATGGTTTATTTCAAGGATAAAGTCGTCATACAACTTATTTTGTGTTGATTAACTTGTTTGAAATATAATGTTTTTTTTAATAAACAATGTTGGAACTTTCCTAGTTATAAAGTTATGTTTGGTTTAGTTTTTAGAATTTATTTTTGGAAGAAACTAAAAATTAAATTAGTGAAAAAAAAATTAAAAGCACATCATTTTTATATAATTTTATCTTTTGGGAGGGTAGAAATATTTTTTAAAAAATATTTTTGTTAAATTAGTTTTTATTTTTTTGAAAGTTAAATATAACGATAAGTTTGATGTCATTATTAAACCAATTCATCAAATAAAAAAATTCAAATTAAAAACATTTCACATATAAAACATATCGATTACATTAAAAGTTTAATAACTATCTATTACATGATTACCATTCAAAATATCTGTTAACAACAAATATAATCATTTATTACATGATAACTATCTAAAAATATCAACAAAACAACTACCAATTATATGTTTATCATTTAAACACACTAAAAATTAATTTGGTAAAAAAATAAAAAAAATAAAAATGTAAAAGATTTATTATTTTTATATAATTTTATTTTTAGTGGGTAAAAATAATTTTAAAAATTCAAAAATAAATTTTTGACATTTATTTTTGTCAAACTAGTTTATATTTTATCAAATTGGCGACTTTATCCTTAAAATAGAATAATAATTGTCATTATTTGAAGTGAGATTCAAAATTTAGAATTAAATGTGTCAAAATTAAAATATCAGAAATCAAAATGATATAAATCTCAAATTACAGTACCGTTGGTGCAACTTGGCAAGAAAGATTTTATTCAGTGCTGGTTTTTTTTTTTATATCTCAACTTGATTCTTTTTTCCTTTCTTAACATGAGAGAACAAAGTGGGGGGTAAAAAACAAAGTGAAAAAACACCAAGGGTCCCTTGGGAGACACATTTTGTTAAAATTAAAAGATACTCTGCGTTATGTTGAATTATGGATTAAGAAATGAATTTGAAAAGAGAAAAGAAATTATAAAAAAAAAAAATTTAGCTCATATTTATTTTAGGTTTTTCCCTTTTTTTTTTTTTTAAATTCATGTTCCAAACACAGTAGTTTAGTGCATTGCTATGTCATTATCATCCCATACAATGTCTAAGTACACAAACAACCGAACACAGATTCGAACAAAGAAACTGTGCATCCGGATGTCCGGCTGGACAACCAGCCAAAGCTTGTCGATCGCGACTGTTATCTTGGCTAGAGCTTGTCAACTGCGACTGTCAGTGTCTTCCAGTCGTCCGGCCAGTCACTCGATGGGACAATTTCTGTGTTTGATTCTGTGTGCGTAGCATTACTATTTTCCATAATCTGGTGCAATAACAAGTAATAAGAGACAATTACCTGTTCTAGTTTTAAGATAGTGAGAATTGCGCTTCTTTCTAGTTGATCAAATGGATGATACTGTCTAGTATTGCACGATGCCATATGACTTATTTTGATGATAAGTTTTGTTTATCTTCAAGGTCTATGTATATTTTATCTATGGAAAAATTCAAATCGATCTGATATTGGTAGTCATAAGATCTGTTTATATTTGTCTCGCTATCATTTTCAACATTACCGCAAATGGGAGGGAATAATTTTTTTTTGTTCTCGCTTTCGTTTTCTCTGGGCAGTGCTTCAATCATAGAGCACTAATGGATTGCTTGTTCAGGAAAAAAAAAAAAAAAAAAGGATATATTCTACACTTTCTTCTTTTGGTTACATCGGAAATAATATATTCTACACCAACAATGATAGAGACCACTAATTTTAGAGCTCTAAAAAGACCACTAATGACATGGCACTCAATAAAAAAAGAAAAAAAAATACAACACCAAGACCAAAATATCAAATCATTCATGGTGGGACCTACTGCCACATCATTAGTGGGAGCACTAATTAGTGCTCCCACTCATTTTCCTATTCTACACTTTCGGCTGAGATTAGCTAACACTCAAATGAGTTAGTGAGGATACATGAGTTAGTGAGGATACATTCCACAGTTTGTCATATGGTGCTCCGGAACTACTAATTAGTTATTAATTCAATTCATGTGCTCCTATAATTATGTCATTTTAGTTTCAACTATAATTTAAGATTTATGAATCTATACACCCGCATGTGCATACACACACAAAAAAAAATAATAATAAAAAATTAAAAAAATTTTAAAAAAATTAAAAATTAAAAATTAAAAAAAGAAAAAAGTGAGTTCTTTACCCAAAAAGTGCGTTTGGACGGCCGAAAGACCATGGCATACATATGCTTCAACCAGATGCTATACCAATATAGCTTCCCCCAACTCCTTTTTCTGTTTTTCAAATATATATATATATTTATTTATTTATTTTTATTTTTTAAAAACAACTTTGCGTACCAATGCAGCAGAGTTAGATGCCCTGCAAATGTAAAAGCTAAGAATGGCTTATTTTTCTTTTAACTGGAAGGATTGAACAGTTTGAATACCGGAATTTATGACTAGTCAATTCAATAATAGGTTCGGATAGCCTGACTCAAAGGTATTGACGAGTGTGAGTTGGGTGAATAAATCTACGCTTCTATTTGCCACAAAATGCTAGCGTGTCTCAATTTTGGTGTTCAAATTGCTCAATTCAGCTCAAACCCGAAATGGTGACAAACTAAGCTCAAAATCTAATTACACTAATGCCTTTGCTAGCCATGAACACATCCATTCACTATGTCAGTTTCTCTCTAATGATGTTTGAATAGGCAAAATGCAAAGAGTGAAATTATAATTGAGTGCTACATTATTAGATAGTTGAATTTTGGTGTCGTTTAATACAACTTGTAAGAACTATCATGTTGATTTTATTATTTTTTTGGGGGGGAAGATTTTGTGCTTGGTAGTTTGCAGTAACTTCTACTTATGTTGTGTTTGATTGAGGGATTTGAGGAGAGATTTGAAAAGAGAAATGGAAAAGGTAGGTGAAATATGAAAAAAATATGCCTACATTTCACATAGTTTCACACACCTTTTTCCTTTCCCTTTCCAAATCCCTCCTCAAATCCCCCAACCAAACACAGCGTTACAGTTTATATGGTAAAAATAATTTAAATAATTTAAAAACTTGATCATCGAGAAGATAACAAGGGCTACTTTTAGATTTAGGCTTATAAATTATCGACTTTTACTTTAGAATCAGATCCAACAAACATTTCATCTTTTCCTCTTTTTTTTTTTGGAGCTTTAGCTCATGTGCTTTGCACTTCATAGTAGAACCATCTCTCCCTTATATTCTCTCATGTCTTGAGAATGTAGAGAGAGAGAGAGAGAGAGAGAGAGAATGGAAGAACAAGTGGATTTGGTAGGGAGGTCATTTGTGGATCATTACTACCATCTCTTTGACAATGATAGATCTTCTCTGTATTCTCTGTACCAACCCACCTCCATGTTCACATTTGAGGGCCAGTTGATACAGGGGGTTGAAGATATCTCAAACAAGCTTAACCAATTGCCTTTTGACAAATGTCAACACGATATTAGCACCATCGATTCACAGCCGTCGTGCACCGGAGGCATCATGGTTTTTGTCAGCGGCAGCCTTCGACTGTCAGGAGAGGAGCACTCTCTCAGATTTAGCCAGGTTATATTCTCTATCCCAATGCCCCTGCTTGTATTTCATGCCAACTATTGGTTTGTGTGTTAACTTTTTCATTTCATGCATACCTCATGAGATGGTGTGTGTGTGTACGCATAGTGTCTTGATACTCACAAAGCATATGACTTGGCACAAATAATTCTACATATACAAAATCAGTCAGAAAAAAAATACAGTTGAGTTGAGAGTAACATGAGTGGAGCAATCACTTCAGTAATAGATCCAACTGTCTAATGTGTATGATCAGGATTATTATTATTATTTTTGCTTGATTGTAGAATTTTTTATTATACCTTTGTGGCAATTGCAGTATAGAAAATGGGCTAATGAAAGTCGTTTTTTTATAAATATGTTGCAGATGTTTCAATTGATTCCAACAATGCAAGGAAGCTTTTTTGTGCAGAATGACATTTTCAGGCTCAATTATGGTTGAAATTGATCCGTTGTTGTTGTTGTTCTCCGTTGAGTTCTGATAATTAATATAATTGTAATTGCTTTTTTGTTGATTCAACCAAAAAGCTTCTCTTTTTCTGAATTCTTGGTGGTTTTTCTAATCCAAAATAATCTGAGAGAATAGATTGTTCCATCTTCATCATCTGGTTGTCGATCTAATTTACTTATATAGTATTTCTACTTCTTAATCAATATTGATCCTTCATTTTTCTTGTTAGCATCATGATTTTAAATAACAGTATTGGAATATGTATTAGTATTAGTGATACGGTCAAATATAAGTTTGTATCGGATAACATTACAACAAAAAACGCCTTTGGTGACAGACTGATTTTGTCTCCAAACATCAAATTTTCGTCACTAAAGTGATCTGTGACGAAAAAAATTTGTCACCACGTTTGTCGCCTATACGTTGTCGCTGAAAGTGCCTGGTGATGAAAAACAGTTTCATCGCCTATTTTTCATTTTTGGTGACGAAATGTTTTGTCTTCAAATGTTGTATTTTTCGTTCTCTATAACATCAATTTCGTCACCAAAACTAAATAATTTTTTATTTTACTTGTTTTTGGCGACGAAATATTTCGTCACCAAATAGATTTTAGTGACAAAAGTTTTCTTCACCAATGATATGGATTAAGGTGACAAAAAATTTCGTTACTAAAGAAAAGAAAATTCTTCAATGACAAAAAACATTTTGTCACCAAATATTTCAATTTATCGACGAAATATTTAGCAAATGTGACGAAATTATTTGTTTGGTACTATATCATTAGTGACAAAATTATTCGTCATGTTTTTTAGAAACTAATAGTGACATTTTTTATTTCGTTGCTAATAAAAATTTAAAATGGGGATACTATTTTCAAATTAAATTTTTTCTTTTTAGTAAAAATTTCCTACACATTTCAATAATCTGTTCAATAAAATATCTATTACAAATCAATACAAAAATCTGTTCATTTTTATAAACATCACAATCGAATTTCAGCACTATCCACAAAAATACAACATGAACTGCATGCGGATTATAAACATGTCTCCTAATATCCACAAAAAACATGTCTACTAATATCCACAAAAATATAATGTCAACCACATGCGGATTACCAAACACGTCTCCTAATATCCACAAAAAACATTTCTACTAATATCCACAAAAATAAAATATCAAGTGCGGATTACCAAACATGTTTTGTAATAACAACAAAAATATAAAATTTACAACGCAACCAAAATACATGTAAGATAATATGAACAAAAACACAAAATGAGCTAGCTTCTGCTCTCCAAGTTACCAAACATGTCCATATCAAATCTTGAATTTGAAAAAAAATGAAACACAAAAACAGAAAAAAGAAAAAAGAATGCAAGTTAGACAATTATTATCTTATTAATAAAATATACAATTTAACATATATTTTTCGACTTAGTTTTCAAATCGGGAGTCCGGTGCTAGTTCTGTAAGTTTTCACAACTTACATTCGTCCCTTCCAAGGTGTTTGAGGTGTTCTCCGGTCTTTCCCGTGCCTGTTACACGATTTTGGCCCCTGATGACCTTTTTTCAAACATAAGTGTGAAAAAATACATTTTTGGACTTAGTTTTCAAATCGGGAGTCCCGTACTAGTTCCGTAAGTTTCCACAACTCACATTGGTCCCTCCCGAAGTGTTCGAGGTGTTACTCGGGCCGTCTCGTGGCTGTTGCACGATTTTGGCCTCCGATGGCCTATTTTCAAGCTTAAGTGTGAAAAAGTGCATTTTTGCACTTAGTTTTCAAACCGGGAGTCCCGTGCTAGTTCCGTAAGTTTTCAAAACTCACATTGGTCCCTCCCGAGATTTTTGAGGTGTTCCCCGAGCCGTATCGTGGCTGTTGCACGACATTGGCTTCCGATGGCCTATTTTCAAGCTTAAGTGTGAAAAAGTACATTTTTGGACTTAGTTTTCAAACCGGGAGTTCCGTGCTAGTTCCGTAAGTTTCCACAACTTGCTTTGGTCCCTCCCGAGGTGTTTGAGGTGTTACCTGGGCCGTCTCGTGGCTGTTACACGATTTTGGCCCCAAAAGGCTTATTTTCTAGTTCAAGTGTGAAAAAGTGTATTTTTGGACTTAGTTTTCGAACCGGGAGTCCTGTGCTAGTTCCGTAAGTTTCCACAACACACATTGGTCCCTTCCAACGTGTTTGAGGTGTTCCCCGGGCCGTCTCGTGGCTGTTGCACGATTTTGGCCTCCGATAGCCTATTTTTCAAGCTTAAGTGTGAAAAAGTGTATTTTTGGACTTAGTTTTCGAACCCGGAGTCCTGTGCTAGATCTGTAAGTTTCCACAGTTTACTTTGGTCCCTCCCGAGGTGTTTAAGGTGTTACCCGGGCCGTCTCGTGGCCGTTACACGATTTTGGCCTCCGATAGCCTATTTTTCAAGCTTAAGTGTGAAAAAGTACATTTTTGGACTTAGTTTTCGAACCGAGAGTCACGTTCTAGTTACGTAAGTTTCCATAACTTACTTTTGTCCCTCCCGAGGTGTTTGAGGTGTTACCCGGACCGTCTTGTGGCTGTTACACGATTTTGGCCCCCGAATGCTTATTTTCAAGCTTAAGTGTGAAAAATACAATTTTGGACTTAATTTTCAAACCGGGAGTCCCGTGCTAGTTCCGTAAGTTTTCATAACTCACATTGGTGCCTCCCGAGGTGTTTGAGGTGTTCCCTGGGCCGTCTCGTGGTTGTTGCACGATTTTGGCCTTCGATGGCCTATTTTCAAGCTTAAGTGTGAAAAAGTGCATTTTTGGACTTAGTTTTCAAACCGGGAGTCCCGTGCTAGTTCCATAAGTTTCCATAACTCACATTGGTCCCTCCCGAGGTGTTTGAGGTATTACCCGGGCCGTCTCGAAGCTGTTGCACGATTTTGGCCTCCGATGGCCTATTTTCAAGCTTAAGTGTAAAAAAGTGCATTTTTAGACTTAGTTTTCAAACCGGGAGTCCCGTGCTAGTTTCGTAAGTTTCCAAAACTCACATTGGTCCCTCCCGAGGTGGTTGAGGTGTTCCTCGGGCCGTCTCGTGGCTGTTGCACGATTTTGGCCTCCGATGGCCTATTTTCAAGTTCAAGTGTGAAAAAGTATATTTTTGGATTTAGTTTTCGAACGGGGAGTTCTGTGATTGTTTCGTAAGTTTCCACAACTTAATTTGGTCCCTCCCGAGGTGTTTGAGGTGTTACCTGGGCCGTCTCATGGCTGTTACACGATTTTGACCCCCAAAGGCCTATTTTCAAGCTTAAGTGTGAAAAAGTGCAGTTTTGGACTTAGTTTTCAAACCGAGAGTCCCGTGCTAGTTCCGTAAGTTTCCACATCTCACATTGGTCCCTCCCAACGTGTTTGAGGTGTTCCCCAGGCCGTCTTGTGGATGTTGCATGATTTTGGCATTCGATGGCCTTGTCCCTAAGAAGCCTTTGGTTTCTATACCCATGAACTTCATCTCCGGATTTCCCAAAATCAATGGGATGCGCTCCATCATGGTGTAGACGTCCCCGAACCCCCCGGGAGGGTTGAGCTCCCGTTCTGTTCATATTGGGGTCACTACAGCTCAGGACTCTCAAATTTGTCACGGTTCTAAATCTGAACCAAAGAGTCCAAATCCGGCAAATCGTTTTGAGAAACAGATTTTTGAAAAGAAGTGCCAAACATGGACTGCTTTGCCAGATACAGAGTCGCCAACATAAATGTATTTTTTTTATGGGAAGTGTATAGGAAGCACAAGAGTACATATTGTCTCGCAGCGATATGATTATACGGACATCAAGTGTACGATACAAATAGGCATAAGTGAGCGCTCCGCAGAACTGATGTGTATTGTGTGACGCGGAGGTATTGGTAGGGATGCAATCATCGGATACCACTAATGAACGCTGACGCAGTCGAGCTTACTACCGTTGTGTCAAGTTGCGTCGACGTTAATTCAAATGGACAGAGGCACACGCGCGCGCCACAGGCTAACATGATATTAGTTTTGAAAACTTTAATGCCGTTCTTATCCGGTTATTAGCCTAAATTTACTATGTGATGCGCACAGCATACAAGTAATAGACCAGACTGCCTGAATTGAACAAAACTTTCATGTTTGTTTATTTGAAAATGGTTTGAGGTGCTACCCGCAAAGTAGGCTAAGACGTGGATTTGCCACCCTCAGGTGGGCTTAGAAAAACATGATTTTGCCACTATCTAGTGGCTTAAAACAAACACACATTTGATGAATTGTTCCAGATCCAAATAACCCAACCTTCACCCACAGGCATTCAGCGCAGTAATAGTCACATAAGCAAATAGCCTCATGGGTAAGCATGCTATTCATGGCAGTTCACTCACTCACAGCCATTGCAAGGATGCTAAAGCATAAAACTTCACCGAGTACTCCAAGCCAAAACAGAACTCATCAGAAATCCATGCATGATCCTAATTATACAGAAGTGCCTAATGCTCAACACATGAAGAATGCAAACTATAGTGGCTCGTATTCTAAACATGGCATAGTGGAATGCTACAGCTAACATGTATTCAACTTGGAATTGAAACTACAAATGCAGTTAGTATGATGCGCCGAGCCCGTTGCATGCAAAACAGTGAATGATGCAAACATGCTTGTCATACTGTATGCTAATTGAAATATGCCCTAATCTAACCATCATAAGCAGGTAAATAAAAGGGAAGAAAGACGTGGGGTGGAAGACATACATCACACCCACGCACACTTATACAATTATGCCCTCGCACAGAGGGTCCGAATAAATATATAGTCCCGAATAAGAAGATATTACAGTCTAAATAATACAGTCCAAATATGTACAAATTCTTAATAATTAACAAATTAACTAAGAAAATAAATAAACTGGCATGCAAGCCAGGGACTGCCTTGATTCCATTCCAGATGATGAACTGATGCAATGCCCGGGTTGCCTTTGGCGGAAATCCATGACGATGCCCCTAATTAGCCTCTGTTTGCACCTATTCTTGAAATGCGTGCCAAGCTCCAAAAGTTACTGATTCTTCATTTTGCCTGCAATAGAGAGCAGGAAGGGGCATGGCAATGTATTTCACAGATATATGCATGCCTCGATCCTCGTCCACAACACGCATATTCGATGCATGATGGCCG